CCCGCACTGCACTTTTTCCGTCCCGCATTGTCCTGTCTCTATCCGGAGCATCTTCTTCGTTCGTATGTGTATCGTCTTATTGGTCAACGAATTGTTCTACGAAGTGTTTTAGAGAATTTCCAATTGTAATAGTTTGTTTATATTTTGACATTTCACCTTTAATTCTATGTCTTATAATGATATCTTGTTTGTGTTGTGCTAACTATCTATACAGCAGAAGTTGTAAGAGACCAAAACTATTTATTTTTTGGTTCACAAACGTATTTTAATATTGATTAAATAAATACATTTTTTGCATCATTAGACCAATACAGAACAAAAATATGTCTATATAAAAAAAGCAATGTCTGCTGCGGGCTCTCTTTGCTAGCAGATCTGCCTTCTTTTTACGTCGCCAGAGGACAAAGATGATAGAAAAGACCTTAATTAATATATCACTAGATTTTTGTCCCGCGTCAATCGTGAGATTAGTGAAAAAGCAGGAACCCTAGCACAAGATACGAACAGAAATATAGTGCACAACACAGAGCGATTCCAATAAAAACACTCAGTCTTTATTCCTATTCCCCGCAGGACACAACATCTGATTACACCAAGCAACTCCTGCAACAGGTAGATTACACAAACACTTCTATAGAACAGATTCACAATCATATTCTACCCAGAGTTACGCGCCATCACACACACCGTGATTCGGTCTTGAATGTGTTCCTAATCTACCCAAGAATGCAACACAACAACAGTTACGAAGCCGTAGCACCTGCTACACACAGCACCTGCTGCAACAGATAGATTACAAGATATCTATAGAATAGATTCAGATATCCTATTCTACCCAGAGTTACGCGACATCACACACCTTGATTCGCTCCTGAACGTATCCCTTATCTACCCAGAAGAAACAATTAACTCTCAATATAAACTCACTTAGTTTGTTCTTGAGTTCTTCATAGAGTATTCTCTCTCTCACTCTAATTTTTGCGTAAGAAGAAGTAACTGAAAAGCATCTTCCAAAATGCCAGTAATATTGGTTTTCCACTAACCAATATTTTGTAAGGAGGCATGCTTCGTACCAGGAGACAATTCACTGCTTTTACACAGGAAACACTATTTCACCTGTCACTTAACTTTGTGTAATGCGCCAACCTTATGCTTTTTGCCTTTTGCATAAAGTCACTTCCTTGTTAGTTGAACCAAACTTTTGCACGATCTCTCCCACTTGCGTTCCCATGGCTCGAGACACTCATTGACATTCACACGTGTGATGTTGACTTCACACGTGTGACGCCGACTTCGGATTTTCTTGTCTCCAGTGTAACACAGGACTCCTCACACCTTCTTTGATCCTTAGTTGCCATCTTTGATGCATCTATAATTAGAATATTTGAAAATAAAAATCATAATGTTTTATAATATACGGAAGAAACTATAAAAAAAAGATCAAATGGTATATCTCTCATATAGATAAATATATTTCATCTTACAGAATTTAATTTGCATGACATTTAGATTGAATGTAAGTGTTTTTAATGTAAATTGAATACGTTTGGGACTATGGGTTCTCTCAAACTTATTTGAGCTCACCAAACCCAAAAAATATCGCGTTGGTATCCAAATCTCCCTAAAAAAAGTGAAAATGATGATTTTTTCGAAATTTAACCATTAATGTTTGATTTGTAAAGTTATACGTTTATAACAAAAGCGC